AACAGCATGCACCCTCATTACCTTATAAATGGTCTGACACCAGCAATATAACACTTTTCTTTTTTGCAGAATTTGTGCTATTAAAGAGTCTCTCCCCCATTATAAGAGCTTGACAAGCATCATTCAGTCATTTACTATTATATGAGTGATGTTAGATTGGGTCTCCTGAGGGAGGTTTCCTACTGTCATTGCAAACTTTGCACACTTTGAGCCTCTGCTGTATTTTAAAGTTTATCAGCCCTAGGAGGAACACTACTGGCAAAGCAGTGCCTTTGCATGCAACCTCCTGGATATTATCCTCTCATATCCATCCCCTTTCCCTGCAATAATCCTCATTAACCTATCCTAAACCTGTATAAGTGTTTTAAAACTCAGTCCTAATTCACTTCAATTTGGAGTTGCAGAAAGATGCTAACCATGAAACTACTTTAAAACACATTAAATGATGCAATTATTGTACAAGAAAAAATGAGAGGCATCTTTACATTTACTTGACATTAATGTGAATCTGTTTATATTGCTACTACAAAATCCACGTTTTCAACCAGCCAATAGCAAATACATACATACCTTTTCTTGCCCCCTGAGGAAAACAACAATGTATAGCTTAACTGTGTATTTACATTTTCTATCTTTTATTTTTATCTTGACACAATTTCTATAAGAAAACAAAGATGAGGTATAAATATTTGACCATCATATTCATATACATACACACATTGTGAAAGGTTCCTCCATACCTTTTCATCTGCCCCCACTTTCCCTCCGGGGGCCCTTTCTGAAAAGCCACAGTTCAATATTGAGTGCGGACTTTTCAGTAGGGGGTTTCAGTAGACTGAACCCTCGTGGTCATTCAGTGGCTTTTTTTTTTTGATCCACTTCAATAGACTGAACATTTCAGCATGGATGCTAATTTACGGGTTTTGTGCAGTATGGTTTGGATGCATCCTTTCAGGAAATGAATTGCAATTTTCACACCCACAATGCTGTGCGAAATTAAATGTATAACGTCACTTCACACTTTGTGACTCCAAATCAAAACAAACAAGGATGGCAAAAAAAAAAAAAAGGATGGATGCGGCTGGTTCGGGGAACAAGTCTTTCAAATGTTAAGGTGTTAAATTGTTTACATGCAATGTGAAGTTTTATATTATTTACTGAGCTAATGATGCCACTTCCACACTGAATGAATCAGACGAAGTAGGAACAAATATTAGCCTACTGAGCTCACCTACTGAACAGAAGGTCCTAAAAGTATACAGCACGGACAGAAGGGACTGTCCTCTGTCAGATTTTGTAGGCACTTTGCAATTCAGAATCACCGACTGACTGCAGCCAGCAGAGTGATTAGGCTGACTGAATCAACCTGTTTCTAATTGGACAGAGTGGAGCCTTCAGTTTGTGTTGTGTTTTTGTTTCTATCTAAAAAAACAAGTTTCATTTCTACTGTTAGTTGATATTCTGATTAAGCTCCCCACTTAAAATACTATCATGATATGTTGCTGTCTTGTTGTTTAAGAGGGGATTTTGTTCTTTGACTTCCCTTTATTCCTGAAATGGTTTGCTCCAATTAGGGTGGGGCCAAGAGAAGCATAAACGTAGACTCAACCAGAGTCTGGGGGAAAATTGTTGTTTGTGGCAGCTTGCTGTGAGGCTGCATTTTCGTTCAGTTTATTATGTCTAGTTGCTTTTAATTAATTTTCCCTGGACTGTTGTTTTTGATCTATAAATCCACCACTTTATTTTTGCAACAATTTCTGCCTCCTAAGCAATTTTTCTAAAAGAACATCTTTTTACTCACCACCAGTGCTGAACAGCCACACTTTAATCCCATTTTCCATGTAGACTTATAACCAGTAATTCTGAACACACAATCACACACACTCACACACACACACACACACACACACACACACACACACACACACACAGTTAGTTATACGAGGATGTTAGAAGTTAATCTTCAGCTCAGAAGCTGGTTCCTCTGACAAAGACCCCAGCTTGTCATGTCTCTGGAGACTCATTATGTTCATTTTCGTCCAATGAGAGTCCCTGATCAATAGACCCAATTGTTTCTTTAACTCCCTCTGTGGTACCCACCACTGGGAGATCAGGTTGGAAACCTTTACAGTTATGACACCCAGTCATTTTGAAGCAAAGGTTTGATTGCATTAAAAAGAGATGATGAGTTTAAACAGGGCCATTACATAAACATAGATCAGTAGCAGCACTTGGCATTGTCGGAGCTTTTGGGGGGTTGATAGCTTCAGTCAGATGCCATTGTTTGAAGAGCTGCAACAAATAGCAAATAAAAGCACAACTGAAAAACTCATTGTGTAAATGACTCATGAATAAATTAAATGAATGTTACTGAATGTACAACTGAACGATAAATGGAACGAAATAAATTCATACATGTCTGTTAACAACAAAAAATCCACAGTCACAATCCAGTCTAACTCCTACAGTTTGACTCTAACTCCTGAATGTTGACCAAGAGTGGAACTTCTTTTTAACTCTCTTGTTGTGAAGCTGCCATAACAAATCTTCTCTTACGAATATTACATCTATATACCTATTTTGATGTTTTTACAAGTATCTTCATCACGAAGCCTGCAGCCTTCCTGCAGGAAAAAAGGTTGAGAACCACTGGTCTAGTAGATAAGTTGCCTGGTTGGTTAATATTTGTCACTCCTGATGAGAAGACTGTGAGGAAGGACAGTTTTCTCATGTTTTGATTTCTTTTTTTTTTCTTCAGGTTTGTCTTCAGGACTTTTTATAATAGCTGTTTCTCTATAAGCCTGAATAAACTCTTAGTTCAACTGAGACATCTGAGTCCTGGATTGTCCGTCCTTTCTTCTCAAACTGCTTTCCTTCCACAAGTACAGGCAAATTAGGTCAGGTTCTTATTTGCATGGCCTACGCTAGTGGTACTGGATGACAAATGGCCTGAAAGAGATTAACTACAAAGACCCAAAATGAACGCCTGCACCCGTGCCCCACAGCTTTGCCCGTAATGACGCCTCAGTGGGTCGCTGTTATTAAGGTTCTCCAAAGGTTAACACTCTGTCCGCTTTAAGCATGATGGATGAGAATCATCACTGCACTGTATGCGTGTTTCTCTTCTCTCTACAGTTCAATTATTTGGAGCTGAACAATTAATAATGACTCAAAAGGGTTACCGTCGCCGTAGGAGAAGATTGAGAACGTTTAGAATGACATTGGCTGGTAGTTAGAGGAACAATTATAAATGTGTCCACTGGGAACTTCTGTGTGTAGGGCTTCTAATTATGTCCACACACACATGCACACACATACGGATGCCAAATGGCAAATCTTATCCATCACACTTAAGGAAACAACAATAATCTGAATGGCGTCACCACAAGGTATTAAAGGCCTCTTCACTCTTTGGTAACATTAAACACTGGACCTACACGTTAAAATGCACAGAGGCAGCTACCTATGATCTAACACCGCAAAATAAGGGTGAAACCAAGCAGCTTCTTGGCCTTGTTTGTCTCATCAGACACACAGAGACACACACTACCCTTTTATTCTGTCATTTATCACAGAGCTCGGAGAGCCGGAGAGAAAGAAGACCACTTGCACGACTGTAACTCTTGGAGTAACTGCCTACCAGTCGTCATCCTTTTGAATATTTTGACTTTTTTTTTTGTGGTACGGAGATTTGTCAGAGGCTTTCAATGCCTATGTGAGAGTTTAAAGTCTGATATATGATGCCCAACACAGCCATCGAAAGGAGGACTGACAGAGGATAGAGAAAGAGCAGAGTAAATTTCCAGAAAGAGTAGACTGTGTGTAGGACTATCCTGTTGGGATTTTAACAGTGAAAATGATCACAATTGATATAAATTTAGTTTTTTCAAGGTTTTTTGGGGGCTTTTTATGCATTTATTTAGAGAAAGTGGATAGAGTCAGAGATTATGGAGGGAGAGAGAGAGAATTGGGAATGACATGCAGGAAAGGAGCCTCAGGGCAAAATCTAACCCAGGCCACCCACTTGGAGAACTAAAGCCTCCCAACATGGGGCGCGTGAACTCACCACTAGGCTACCCACGCCCCTTGACTACTTTTTTTTTTTTTACAATTTTTTTCCTCAACAGTGAATGCTTGAATTTCATTGAAACAGTATTTCTCTCGTTGTGATATTACTACTTTCCTTCTAGATAAATATGGAAACACGGTTTCTTTCACAGCTGCATTCAATATTATTCCAGTCTTTCTGTCAAATTCAACTTCAACTGATAAGTATAAAGAAGTAAAGCAGAAAAAGAGATACAGACAAGTTTTGTGTTATCTGCATCAATGGCGCCATCATGTGATTGAATCATGTCAGTACACTGAAAGTTTAGCAGATTAGTTCTGCATCGAGTGAATAGAAAAGTGTGCAGACTGGCCAAACAAAGTGTATCACTCCCTCAATCTGTCTCTCTCAGACTGCACTCCGAGCCTGCAAGTACACCACACAGTTCTCAACCTGCAGGTGGTGATGTTTGTGTATATCTACACACCTATCTGACAAATCTTCACACAGACGATATGTCTGGATGATATATGATGAAGCTGTTGATGGATTGGTATGATGGAATAAAATATACCTAATTAATGGATGGGAGAGAGAGTGCTTTCATTATAGGAATGTTTATGTTAAAGGGAATAAGTCAACAATATAAACAAGGGTTTCATATCAGCATCACCCCCCCTTTTTTTCCTCAGAAACTTCAACTCTACATAAACTCAGGCCATTGCTTTTATACCAGATTTAATTTGTGTTCTACATTTTCTAAATATACTGTGTTTTTATGTTTTTTTCTTATGTAATGTATTTTTGTAACCACTAAATTTAACATGAGAAAAGTCTTCAGGTGTATTTAATTCTCTCCAATGTTAGTTTCCTAAAAAAGTGTCATCAATGAAGCATCAAGCAGAGCAGACATGGGTCCTTGCTTCTAAGAAACACATCTCTGGATACAGCGGAGGTTTGGGCTGTTACATTTATTGAACAATTTGATCACACATCGGGGTAAAGAAATGATTTCTTGAGAAACATGTGCAAGTCTGCCTCCTGGCTCTATCACAGAGGACCAGAAAAAAAAAAGCAACAATAGAAGAAGATATGCCTTGTCAAAATCAGTGCAGTGTAAGGTAAAACTAATATTAAGTAATATGATGATTTTTTAAATAATGTTTTATAAAAAATGTAACTGACAACATGCCATGGCAGGATTTAATTCCTTAATGTTTTCCTGTTTTTTTTCCACTGGCCCAGCTGCAAGGATAGATACAAGGTCATAGTGTGTGGCTGTTAAATATATATAATTGTTCATGTGCATAGGGGTTGTTTGTAAAAAAAAATGCAGTATGTGTTTGCATTTTTAAGGTGCAGAAGTAGAATTATTTAGACTATTGATGGAAATATCAGGCAGTATTTGACAGCTCGTGATGATGTCAATCTTCTCCGAAACCGCCTTCAGGTCATCCAGGATTAGTCGGATGCTGTGGGAAGCGTTGATGATGGCGCTCTGTGAGGTGGTCAGCTGAGCTGTTGCACTGTGCACCTTTTTAACAAAAAACATAAAGTCACAGTTATTGTGCACACCAAACTACTGTTATGAAGACATTCAAACCACTTTCTATTATCTACAACAAAACACTGATTACAGATGAAATACAGATATTACATTTTTTATGTCTAGGAAAATACTGGCTCCTGTTTAGGTAGACGTTACACCTGTACTGGCACTTTACATGAACCTCTTTGTGACTGGCTTATTTTTTCTCTTTCCATTCTAACTGTTTGCATATTACAGTAAATAATTAGCTTGACTTGTCATCGGCTCTGGATGCTCAAATTAATACAAGATTGCATAAAATGTCTTTCTAGTCTATGCAACATTATTCTGAATAGTTTTCTTGTAAGAAAGCATAAAATACGTTTGGTGCTCAACTACTTTTAGTTGCACAAGATTCAAGTTTACTACCAAAATTAGATATTGAATAATGAGTTTCCTGAGTCAAACAGATCTGCACACCTCTCTACTAGCACTGCCATAAATCTGCCGTAGTGTCAGTCCAACGTCAGAATACAGCCGGCTGTTTGACTCCTGCAGCTTCTGTTGTAAAAGGGTGTCACCTGGAAAACCAAAACAGATACTGATTTACTCCAAATGTAATAACTGACACTTAACAGATTTGTCCCCCTCCATCGTTTTATTTGCACCTCTGAGAGGACCCATTCATAAATAAATACTGACGAACTGTATCCGATCTTAATAAGGCAATGTAATATTTGAGCACTTTTAACCTTTTTTTTAACCAAAACTGTAGCTATTCCAGAACTTTCAACCACCGCTTAAATGCATTGGTTTTATTCAGTGAAGCGTTCATGCTCCATTATTGTATGCCGTACATTCATTCATTCAGCAAGATTATCCAATTGCAATTGCTAATAAGATGCCACCGAAACCTAATGAATGTAGGCTACCTCAAAAGGAAGCGTATTCAGTTACACAATAAATCTTGTAAATATTTATCACCCTAATTATCAGCAACATTCCTCACCATGTGGCCTGTGTGTGGGGCTCGGTCTGTCCTCCACTATGGACTGAATGTCAGGATGGTCTCGGACTACGATAAGAGGAGGGAGGTCTCTCCTGAGTACATGAGCACTCTCCTGGCTCAGAGCAGAGACTCTGCCTGACTGCTCCCCCTCTTCTTCACTGTCTGTTTCAGATGCCTCCCCAGGAACCTGACAAAAACAAAGAGTGTTGTAGAAACAAGAAAAAAGAGGGATGTAGGCAGGTACACAGAGTTTTTGTCTGTCGATCAAAAAACACACACACACACAGTTGCATGACTGCAAAGACAACCTTGGCTCCAACTGTGGCAGCCTGAGGAGCAGCCATGGAGGTGATGTAGACCTCATCATCAGAGTCCGTCTCAGAGGCCTCGCCCTGCACCACAATCTGATACCTGCTGGACATGACTGAGGGCAAAAAAAAACCACACACACACACACACAACGGAATTCCATTAGCTACATAGAAACAAAGTATAATTGACTGTAACTAAGCAACGTCGACTGATACAAAGAACGCATACCAAAGTGGCTAAACTTAACAGCAAGTTAACACTACGTGAAACTATTATGTTAGCTAATGGCCCAATATTTAATAATAAACAGTCGATTAAACCAACAAACAAACAAGAAAAACTGTCAAACCTTGTCCGTGAAGTCTAAAACAAATCACATGAGCAGCGAGAGGGTGGTTTCTTTTACAACAGCCAATCCGAGCTGCGCCATTTGGTCACATGGCAAGTGACGTCACACACAGCCGTACAAGAGTTCGTTTAAAATAAACCCCGGCGTGCACCGACATTGTAACCATCGTAACAGGAACTTCATTCACGCTTTTGCAACAGTTCGTGATACGTGGGCTCTTAAACCAGCGGGATAACCTGGTATTAATATCGAGTGCTACCCAGGAAGTGGACCCGTGTTTACCTCGTCTAGCCCACTATCTCTTATTTATCGGGTATAGTAGATTTAACTGCTTACTTGCTTGAGTTAATAAAATGCAAACCATTATACCACACATGCATTGTTTTGTCCTTGTTACCTGTTTTATGTCGAGGGAGATAACCAGTTTATACGAGCATGATAACATTGCTGTCTTTGGCGCTAACTGTCTAGCTAATGCTAAGCTGCAGATTTTCTCATCTGCTGTTTATTATCCACTTTATAGATAATGGCATGCTGTTATACTCGAGCTTTATCCTGGCTTTAAAAATCCCCGTTGTGTTTTCTTGATGCAGCAATGGCAGACGAGGCTCTGTTCGACTTGCTCCATATGGAGATGGTGTCCCATGTCTACAAAGAGCAGCAGTCCAGTAAAGGAGAGATGGACAACAAGGTGTGTTTAAATAGCCATCACGTAACCAACAAACACAGGATTTACTGGAAGACCTTAGCCTTGAGTTGCACTGTGGTTTGGAGTCTAACACTAACATCATCTATCAGTTTGATAATGGCAGGCATGATAGCTCATCAGCACATGTTTGCAGTCAGATTGCAGCCCACCAGTACATAGCATATGGCACAAACATTTCACAGGAAACACCAAACACTTTAAGTCCAGCACTTCAACATTCCTGTTTTTAAAGCCTGTTCTTCACTGAAATTAACAGCCCTGGTGTCTTTTCTTCAGGACAGAGCGGCGTGTGTTTCTGTCCTTGAAAGCATGGGCTTCAGGGTGGGACAAGGACTCATTGAGAGGTAAACGAGCACTTACAGCATGTGCAAAAGTGAAAAGAAAAGAAAAAAGTGTGGCATACATCATTTTTGATGCGGATTGCGTTCTTTCTTTAGGTTGACTCGAGACTCTCCTAGCTTCAAGGACGAGTTGGATGTCATGAAGTTTGTCTGTAAAGACTTCTGGACGAAGGTGTTCAGGAGGCAGATTGACAACCTCAGAACAAACCATCAGGTACGTTGAGAGTGAACGGTACAACAAGAGTTTAACATCTGGCTCTGTTTCAGTATTCTTCACAACAGGAACATTGAATTATTCTGTTTTGTGACTTTGTTTGGGAAAGATTGCCATACATTTTTTTTTTATTGCAGATCAAAGGTGGACATAGAGTCTTGAATAAAACTCAATACAGAACATAGACTACTTTAATTAACTGAAACTGGGAAAACTGAAAACATTCACATTTAGTGTTGAAATTTGTTACAGTGGTTATTTATTTGCTTGTATCCTCTGCCATAGGGCACATATGTGTTGCAAGACAACAAGTTTTCCCTGCTTACTCAGCTGTCCAGTGGAAAACAGTACCTGGATCAGGCTCCTAAGGTCAGTATACTCTCTCTCTTTTTCTCACTTGCACTGTCTGTGCCTGATTTTGTCTTTTGACCTGTGTGATCTGATCACTGGTGGACAGCTCTAAATACTGTCCCCTTGTCATCAGATCACCAAGAAGGCGTAAACAGGAATAAAGACACTCCCGCAAATGGAGCCGTATAAATTCAAAAGATTGGCATTCACTGAGCATGACAGCGATTGTGATGAATTCACTATACTACAAAGTCCAGCTATCTGTAAGGTTTCACTTACAGTTAAGTGACAGCTTAGGGAAGCAAATATCATCTTATTGTAATTAGGTTAACTGGTGTTTCCGTGTGGGTTTCCTTGCAGTACCTCGCTTTCTCGTGTGGGGTGGTGAGAGGAGCTCTGTCTAACCTGGGTCTTGACAGCGTGGTGACAGCTGAGGTCTCTATTATGCCCTCCTGTAAGTACAATTAGAACCCTACAATGGTGTTTTCATTGTTGTAAATAATGAGGTGACATAGCATTCTTGTGGGCTAGTCAAATAGCTAAAGTGCCGTCACTCTTATGAGCTGTAAGAAATTAAAAAAATACCTCAAATAAGCTTCAAACCCGTGTTTCACTTCTCCTTCATTTTGTCTCACCAGGTAAGTTCCAGGTAGTGGTTCAGAAGTTGTGACCGGCTCCTCTCTGCTGCCATGGTGCTAAGGAACAGGGTCCTGTAGGGTTCTGTTTATCCTAAAGATAGGATAGTAATTCCTGTCCAGCCTCAGATGGACTCAAACAACAACTGGGTCTAACAGGTTCTTCTGACAACCAGGTACACCTTTCAGGGCAAAAAGGTTTAACCGAGACTTTAAGTGCTCTGATACAGAACCGGATTGGTTTTTAATCCTTTTTCGTCTTCTTGTTTTTTAATAGACGTTGACTCGAGTCTGAGTGAAATAATGTATGATGTTTTTGACTTTAGTTTTCACTTGATAAGTGGAGCCTGGCGCTGACTGACCCCACTTGGCCAGGCTTTGAAAGATACAGTATAAACTGTGAACACAAGAATGTGAATGTATAGCAAATCACACGGTAACTTTGTGTTCTTTGTTACGTTTTGCAATGTTGAGTCCTCAAATTGAGAGGACTGTGCTTACTAAAAAAAAAAAAAAAAAAGGATATTTCAGGACTATCAACTGCCATACCATTTGTTTGTAAGCATTCTGCTAAACAATAGAGAATCTCTGAAAGTAATTACACCTGGTAAATAGAAACATTAGTCAACAATACTGTTTCTGCAGACAAACCTGCAGGCAGCTCCTGGTGCTTTCCCCTCCTTTGTGGCTGTTTGCCTGTAAGAGCTGGGTGTTCATGCATGCTGTTGGTCCTTTACATTTCAGTTTATTTACAGGCAGAATGAGTCAACAGTTTATGAATTTAGAGAGACCTCTACTTTGTAATTCTGCTACCTCTATTATATTACATTCTAGAGCTGACTATTGAAACTTGGTTTATAGGCTGTCATTTAATGTAACGACACTGCGTGTTCTTTGTACACCAGTGGAATTTAAAATATATAGTTAAGAATTGTTCCTACGTTACAGCAAGCTGCACATGTTGTAAGACTGAAATCCTCCTTCATGGATGTATTGTTACATTTGTTTATCAAATATGAGTCCATCTATGTGACCATACATTTCACTTCATTTTATTTATGTATTTATCCAAACTAAACAATTTTCTTAAAACTGAATAATAATGTCTTGGGGGGGAAAAAAAACTTGTCTCCAAAAGTCCACCTCTTGGGTTGATACTGTTTTCTCTTTGTGCCACTAGAGGGAGACATAAAGCTGTCATTATTTCCATGGGTTGTTGCTCTAACAGTTCACAGGTCAAGTCTTGTGTCTCGTAGTCTTGTACATCAGACTCATCCTATAGTTGAGCCAAAATGACTGAACGTTGCCATAAGAAACACTCAACAAAAAAAAGTCTTAACTAAGGAGTTTTTTCAAAATATATTATTTTGTCACCTTACATTATTTATCTATCTATTATAGCGCAACATGTTTACAAAACCCTTTTATATTCTGTTGTAGAAATAATCATGAATCAATTTTCCCATAAATCAAATGAAGGAATTATCATTATATTGTATTTTAGGAATAAGGCATAAATCCACGACTCAATCACACTTTTCCATTGTGTTATAAAGAACAAAACATTGAAGTGATTTAAGAGAAACGTGAAGTTTTCCTTTCTGTCTGTAACTTTTTTTTCTTTCTCCTTGACTGTGTAACTGTAGGTCCCTTTCCCATCATCCCTGCTTAAGTTATTAATATTTCTTTCATGTTTTTGATCCATATCATGAGTTCGGTATTAAGAGGTTACTATTGTATGCGAGTGGATTGCACTTCCTGTATATTCAGTATCCAACTTCTACTCAAGCAGGCTAATCTAAAACATCGGTTTTCAAGAAATGCATCGTCATTGTAAGTCTGAATTTCCAAAAAGATTATCCAGGTCCTATTCGTCATCAGATCTGGTGAAATATTTAAATCCTCTGGATTTTCTTTATATTTACATTTTGACATGGCACCACCTGGACGTTACTGCAGCAGGTGCATTATGGAGCTCACACTGCCTTTTATTTGTCCTCCCTGTAATAAAGTCCCCTGTCTTTATTCCAGCATCCCATTGGTATGAGTGTCATAGTTTACAGAATAAAGGTTGGTTTTGTGATTTGATCTTTTTAGTGTGCTTTAAATGTGTTTCTCTCTCAGGCTCAGGTTTCAAAAACATGTAGATGCTTCATTTCACATTTACTAATTACTGTCAACATGGAGGTTTTCTTTTGAACATGCATAAGAAACCAAAGGCTTAGTGGTTCATATTATGAAATGATGGTTAATATTTGACTCAATAGTTGTTGTCATGGATGACAACATTAAAGGCTTTATATGTGATTTTTTGATCCAGCAGATGTCGTTCCTTGAGCACCAGCATGAAACCAAAACAACTTGCGGTGCATTGTTGTGTTAGCATGCTAATTCTAGCTATCTTTATTACGCTCGTATCTTCACACTGCATGTAAATTTACCTGAAATGACCGTGACCTAGAAACGCTTACGTGACATTCAATTAAGCAGTGAGTACAGTATGTTATTCTTCTTTTCTCTAGTCCCTCAATTAAAGAACTTTTATACGTGAGGGGAGGAGTCAGCCAGCCGTCTCGACGATGTAAACAAACTGAAGATAGGACTCGGAAAGCATCACAGACAGTGGGACTCGGGTGTTACACCCATTGTAGACAGTCATGACTCACAGAGTTAGTCATGACTTAAAACTTAAAACTTAATGGCAGACGTTAAGTTTCGATTCTGGGAGTGAGTTCCCACCCACTGATCTGTGATTGGTCTGTAGCTTCAGTGGTCGAAAATATGAGGAACTAGCGTTGTAGTTTCACACTACTTTAACGCTTACTGCAACAGCTTCGAATGACGCAATATGACGATATTTGCGTCACTGGAAGCTCCTTTTCAGACTTGCAGAACTTTCCAGTCTCGGGGTGAAATGAGGGCTGGATACAGGACCATTCAAAAATACTACCAGTTTACTACTGATACAATGCTTAATGTAAATGGGTAAAGTATCCCTTTAATAGTGTAGGGCCAAATGAAGCAGAAGTAGCAAAGTAATGTTGACAATGTTTAATACACAATTATGGACAATTAATTCAAGACTATTGGGGAGTAAATCTAGTAATATATTTTCGATCTAAAACACTGCAGATAAAAGATTTCCTTAAAAGCATAACCAAATCCAGGCTAAACAGCAGGCAATGCTTTGTATTTAAAAGTGTCCCTCCATAATTTGTTTGTAGTACAGCAAAAGAAAAAGCTTTAGCAGGGTATTTGTTTATTACATATGCCTTGACAAGCTTAGTGTTTAAAAAATATGTGAAAAAATACATTATAATTGGAAAAAAAAATTGTCACATTTGTGTAGATACTCTTTTTTTCGAAGCACAATTCAACAATCGTCGAAACAATCGCCAAACTTACCTAAGTAGGTCCACAAACACCACCATGAAGACAAAATACTTTCATAAACTAGTGAGAGGAAAGACAACTGCGTCTTGAAAAGGTAATTTTTTGGTTGGTTAGGCTGTTTTTTCCACATCAAGATTTTCCTCTTCATGATGAGTTTTAATTGGTCTTTGAATGCTCTCGAGGGAACATTTTAAAGGGTTGTTTTTTTGTTTGTTTTTTTAAGGAGAGGAAAACAACCCTGGATGATGTCATCAGGGAGAGTTTAGGATTAAATGTCTTTGCAGCTTGACCCATGCTATGGAATAAAAAATCAGACATCATTGCCTTTTTCTGTATTTCTTTTGATCTTCAATACTTTTTCTGCAAGTCTTTCAACTTCATTGAAGTGCATTACTTGTTTGCTGGAGTGCCCTTTCAATGAGAGCCTTACTGTTTTTGAGTAATGTCCTTGCTGCAATATGGAGGCCCTCAAGACAAGAGTTCTTAAGAGAGAAGAAAAACTCGAAGCCTGCTGATCTGCATAGTGCGTCATAGGTGACAGAAAGGTGTTTATTTGTTTTTACTTGCTATTAAACCAATAATGCTGCGAAGGAAAAAAATAGCCAGGGAAGTTCAGCTAGGTGCCTGCATACATGTGCAGCACCTGACTATGGCTCACTGTTTTGCCCATTTGTTGCAACCCATTAAACACTTTGCCCAAATCCTTTCTGGGAAGTAGAAAAACAAGCAGAAGGAGGGATTAGAGAGAAAGCCTGGGAGGGGGCAGAATTGTAATAGTGGGTGAAGAAGAAGAGAACGGGCTGGAGGAAAATTGGAAGGAGAGAATGAAGAGCCCCTACAGGAGACTGGATGGAAATGAGAGATGTATTAAAGGACAGGAGAGGGGAGGGGGGCAGAGAGGTAGTGTCCGGTGGTGAAGAAGTTGCGATAGTGAGGGGAGGTGTGGGTGGGAGAACTTTTTTGTACCTGAATGGCTCACAAACATTAGGGAGTTCAGGGAAGGGGTCCAGGAGCAGAGGGATTGAGTAATGAAGGCGGATAGTTCAGCAGCAGATGTTTTGTGCTGCTCTGCACGGCTTCGCTCCCCTTCCTCCTGCTCTCCTCATGCATCACAATATCACCCATACACTCACAAAGGGGAACAGTGAATAGAGGGTTGGGAGGGAGGAGGGCAGTTCAGGGGGCTAGAAGAAAAAGGGGAAGGGGTTGGGTTGTGTGTAAGTAAAACGTGCATTCATCCTCTCAAATTGATGACTTACTAAATTCAGTAACACTGTCCACATAGACTGGCTGAAGTCCTTTGTAGTGTGAGAAGAAGGTGACAGTGACTATTGTTCGGGGTCAGGTTTTTCTCCGTGCAGTTAACTCAATTTTCTAATCACTTACATTTTGAAATCACCAAGTGCAATTTAAATTCATTTTTTAATTATGTTGTAGGCTACACATCAATTTAAAATCATACACAAAAATAATGTATGACTTCTCGAATTAATTATTGCTACAACTTTTGAATATCCAATCTTCAAACAGAGCTGAAGTGTAACTTAAAGTAGGTCTACTCCCAAAACAATAGCCTACTAGGATACTACATTGACGCTAACAGAAGGATGCTTTCAATGAAGTCTGCTTAGAAATGTATCATATCAAAATATTTCTATTCCTGGGATTAGCTAGAAGCTAGGTGAGCTAACAGATGTTTATCACTTAGCTGATTTTGACAGAACTTTGTCTGTTGTAGAAAAGCTAGCTAATTGCTAAGAAGTTGTTTACCTTCTTACTTGTGCTTGCATGTCAAGAAATTGGTTTAGTTGACTTAATCAAGGATGCTGTCTATGGAAAGTAGCATATGATTCATATTTAACTATGAGTACTCTTGTAAGTTAAGTAGTAGTGTGCTACAAATTAGCTAGCAGTAGCGTAGTAATCGTTTAGCTGATTAAGCTAGCATCAAATTGTGTAGTTAGTGGAGCTACAGTTGCTGCTAGCTGGCTACTAATTGCCAACTAGTTTTATTCAGTTACGTCTGCTGTGTTAGGGAATGATTAACTATTTAAATCTTTGATCAAGTTTTTATGTTTAACCCTTTATTGGCATCTTATTTGTCTTAGTTTACTTGTTTTCTTCAAAAGTGATTTCATAGCGTGCATTAGCCTACTAAATTAAAAAAGTCTCCTGCCTTAAAATGCTGGCTTGATATTTTAAGAACATCAAATGTTTCCATGACAAAGCTGCTGTATTTAACAGCCTGTATGATCTCACATGATGACGCCCACTTGCTTTCATTCTCTCAGATTGTCCCATTGCTTCTTTATCTCACCTTTTTTTTTTTTTCTTCTCAGAGCTTCTTTTCTGCTCTAACAACTTTGCCTTTTTTATTCCTCCCTGCCCACTCATTCAGCTTCCTCCACTCATGCATAGTGAAAGTGTGATTCTCTGTCTCTCTCTCTCTCACACACACACACACACACACACGCACACAACCTGTGTCAGTCAGGGCCATATGTTGACCCATGGTGGACCTGAATACAGCCATCTGCCTGCCTTTCCTACATCCCACAGGGCAAGAGTGTGGGAGAATGTCTATCAGACACAAAACAGCACACACACCACACACACACACACACACACACACACAAAACCATGCAAGCACACACATGCCTTCAAACCCTTTGCGGCCACTAATCACTCCAAGGCAGCCCATCTCATGTTAATCCTGACAAGATAATGGCTCTTGTGCTTGTGTGTGTATGAAAGAGAGATTCCTCAGGGGTGAACCATGAGGCTGCATTTTAAGCTCTTTTTTCCCCCTAATAATTACTTTTTAAATATGTTATTGCAGAAAATAAAGTGTCATTGTAGTTTCAGCCAATCAGTTTTAAATACCCAATAGTTCTCTACTTTTGACATGTACAAGTATAAAACCAGAATGTGGCTCTGTACAGTTGGATTCAATGAGCACACATTATCATGCATTACTCACCAGATACATACAAGACTGCTATTCAGTACTACCCACATGGTAGAAAGTGGAGAAGTAGGGGGAGATGCAATTAAAGGAAAGGAAAGGGGAACAAAGTGAGAAAGAAGGATGTAATGAGTGAAGGCAGTGAAGGAGAAGGGAAATGGGTGGGAGCAGAGGATTGGTCAGATTAAACCCTAAACAAAAGACTTCTTATCTCCACATGAAATCTCAATTGCATGACTACACACTCACTCACACACAGACCAGTGTCTTGCTCTTTTACACCAGACTTGTTGTGGCAGAAACCACTAATCAGTCTATACTTATGTCCGTTTTTGCATACATAAAATGTAAATGAAAACATTAATCATACCAGCACCGTTTTGTTGTATGTACCTCTTAGCCTACATTACTTGAGTTAGAAAGTGTGGTTTGATAAGATGCTATTTGCCTGTACTCAATCATTTATAGACTTTCCTACTCCCTTAATTCTGTGATATCTGTGAAAAAAAACCTACTGACTGCCCACATGTCCAATTAGGGAAGAAAAGAAAACAAGAATTGTTCTCCGTTATGAATCATTCAGCACATCTGGGTTTATAAGCACATTCTTTAAGCGAGACTGCACCACAGAGGTATGATTCATTTCCTGGTTGTTGTGCAATTTCATCTGGAAATATGAAGAACCTTTTTGTATTTCAGTCTCGTATTACTGTAAAATGTACATTTCTTGCCCTGGAATCTGTTTAGAATGATATAGGTAAAAGGTAAAAAGCTTTGGCAAATGTCATGTGTTGTTGTTTATTGGCACAACATATCAGCTATGTTTCATTATTTATTCAGTATAGTTGTCCAGTTACTGCCACACTTGTTCAAGCATGTGCTTTCTTTGTATTAATTTTCAGATATAAAGAGTCAGGACATTTTGGAGGTTTACATAAGACAAGAGTTACTCTCCTAGACAGCGTGCTTCTGTGCTGCAGGATAAAACAAAAAAAACAAAAAAAGAGATTCAGTCTTATGATCATTCCTTCTACTCCCTCTAGTCTGAAAGAAACTTCAGAGTGAGCTGAAATAATAGTTATACTATCCTACTGGTTTAAATACAGTACATGATAATGTGATCTACAGTGAAAGCCATAAATGACTTTCCTTTGTTTCTGCTTGCTTCCTTCCTTCGCCTTGCATTCAAAACATTCAAACATTGTGACCCGTAACTTCAAAGCTGTTGCAAAATTTCCTAGCAAACACCGTCGTGTAGATCTCACCTGAAACCACAAGAAAGTGATAAACCATGACAAACAAGAAAAGTGGGTAAAAAAAACAACTTTATTTCCAGTACAAAAAAGCAAAAAAGAAGTAAATATATTAAACTTGATACAAGCATTTACAACTCAAAGTCCTCTATAAATACGTTAAAATAAATTAAAGAAAAATTAATTTACTAAAGATCATCACCTTTACCACTAAACAGGCCTCAAACATGTTGAAGAAAAGGCAATTTTAAATAGACCAATAACAGCGCAGCGTCTGTTTTTCTAACCAACTACATCAAAAAACACACAAAACACAGCTAAGTAAAATTTCTATAACACTAAGCATACTTTGCACTAACCCTCCAGAATGCTGGACCTAGCTCAGTTAAGGCAACAGACCCGGGTGCTGTGTCCAGGACGCTACACGTTCATGACAGTACAAAGCCGTAACAGGAAGAAGTAATACTGAATGAGGAGGAGAGATAGTGGGGTCACAAAAAACAGAAATGTTAATCAAAAAAATTAAAAAATGGAACACCTGTGCTACCTGCATTTAGAGGAAAAATAACCCCACTTCTATGAACATTTGTTGTTGTTTTTTTTAAATAATCTTAAATTGACATGAACGCCACAATCCAAATATTTCCTGAAATGCCAAGTACCTCTGGCTAAGTTCAGGAGATATCAGTAACAGAATACATTGCATGTCATTTGAGGTGTTATCTTTGACTTTCAATATTGATGGATGTTTTTTTTCTTCTACAATGCCTGCTGTTTTTGCTGCCTGGCACATTTTATATTTTAAAGCTCATACACTTTCAGATGGCAAAAGTCGCACAGTTAAAATCACTTCATCAACATTGGCTTATGCCTGGTTTTGTTCCTCCTCTTGCAGGGCAGGCTGGATTTGGTCATTTGGCACTTGGTCATAGTCAATAATGCACCAGATATCGAAAAAGAACAGCAACTGTAGTAATCTGAACAACAGAGAGACCTGAACTCACAATAACTACACACGAAAAAAAAAGAAAAGAAGACTCGCACCCCTCCTCACATCTCTCCTAACAAACCACCAAATATTGTTTCAACACTGTAACATGACCTGTTAAGTAACGCTACAGGCACTTCAGTTGTTTAAAAACTTAACATTCAGGTTGGAAGCCAGTGATCTAAACAGAACCTCTGACTGTACAGTTACGAGGGAAAAAAAAAAAAACAATCTCACCAGCTTATAAACAATACTGTGTAAACAGTCAATGGAAAAACATAGGTCACATTGTGTGTTTGTACCACCATAATCAAAGCTCTTAAGCCACAAACATATCTTTGGCTTTGTCACATTCTTAAGATCACACAGAAGGTCTGGAGAAAAAAAAAAAAAAAGGTGTGACGACAGGCAATCACACTGTGATTACAATACTTTTGTTGCAATTTGCTGCCTCAGCATACTAATTTAATGAAGCTTTCGAACGCTTCCTGCACTGCTATGTTTTGGTGGCTACACACATTTAAGTTTTGGCATCACAGATTCCCTTACGCGGTGATGTTTCAACCATATAAATCTGACAGGTGAATCTAAATGAGCGTTCTGAGTCAGTCAGTAAGTCTCCGTTAACTTTGACCCCACACAGGTGAATGTCTGTAGGTTATTTCAGTGATGGCATGTGTGAGATACGTTAGCATATTATGGATACAGTGTTTGTTAGCATTGTGTGTGCTTGATAAGGACATATAAGGGTATGTGTTTTCTGCATATATTGTGTAAGCAAGGGCCTGGATTATGTATCTCTATGTAAAAAAAATGTATATACTTAGTCTAAAGGCTGAACCTAGTAGGATCCTCAGGCACAGAAAGCTGACTGAATACCGCCAGACGTTTGCCATTAGCATCGTTAATGCCACTGCAGGACTCAGAGCCACTGAGTGAGCTAGCTGAGCTGCTTCCATCCTGGTCCTGGTCTGATAGAGAGGTGTAAGATAGGGATCGGGTGCCAAGAGGCCCTGGAAAGGTGCCGATAGAACCGGGACTCTGCCTCAGGGTAGGTGAGGTGGTCGGGGAAGGCCCGCATGGAGAACAGCCAGAGTCAGGGGAAGGTAGGAATAGAGAGCAGGGATCTGCTGCCATGGCCATGCCTACTGAGGGCTGGTATTGGGGGGCAGAGGAGGCCTGAAAGGCAGAGTCCATCTTTAGGAAGGCATGAGAGAGGAGGTCAGTGACGTCAGCGCAAGAAGGGGGAGAGGCTGATGGAGCACGTGTGAAAGATGCAGTGGCAGGAGAAGGCTGAGCAGTAAGGGCGGCAAGGTGAGGTGTAGAAGGAAACCCAGCAAAGCTGAAACTCTGTCTGACCAGAGGTGGTCTGTTCGGGCGGGAGGAGGAGGAAGGCTGCTGTGAGGGAATGCTCGATGAGGAGGAAGAAGAGGACGAGGAGGAGCGAGAATAGGAGTGTTTCCTTTCTTCCTCATTGTTGTGGACAAAGTGGCAGCGCATCCCGTAGGGGCAGAAGCCAATGGTGTGAAATGTACGACATGGCTCAGTTTTGTATTTGGGGTGCCTGCTAAGATCCCGCAGCTCATCTAACCCATGGGCAAACTGGCATTTTCCACCATACTTGCACAAGCCGCTCTCAGTGAAAGATCGACACAGTTCAGTCTTATAGCGGGAGGAGGAGTTACTGTTCATGGCGGTAGGGCTGAGGTCACTTTGGGAATGATTCATGTCAGTCCCAGGCCAGCCTTGACTTGCTGTTGCGGGACTGCTGGTTTCCACCATGCTGATGGAGCGCTGGGCAAAGAAGCCTGACTTTCCCAATTGGCTGGAATTATCGAGCTGGGAGGGCAGACAGCTTTTTGACTGCTGTCCCCACAGGCTGGAGGTCAGAAGTGCTCTGTCTGCAAGATCAGTGGAAATGCAGGAGAGGGACGAGAGAGAAAGCGATGTGTTGCTGCCTGGCTGGCCGTTGTAATCTGGTGTTCTCATGGCCAGACTGAGCGATGGTAGAGGTCCACTCTGCTCCCTGATGTCAAGATTCAACAAATGCTGCAAAAAACAAAAGCAAAATACATTAGCCAATACATTTTACAATAAACATCAAAATGAAAAGCTAGAAATACATACATGAAAACCAGACATCCACTTCAATTTAATATTCAAAGCAGACTAGTAATGTTACTTTGAACTGTAAACTGCAATGTATTTGTACAGTAGAAAATCAGATGTGTTTATCTTCATGAGTCATGACCAACGATTGGGCTGCAATGATTTGACATAACAATATGCTAAATAAACACATTGCTGCTATTTGATGATTTGCAATTTTAGCAGTGGGACACAACTGTGGTGCAAGCCCCTTGGATTTTGTAGAGTCAGTCGACTGCTGTATTTCATTTTATTTTTAAAAACCTGCAAAAAAAATCTAAAATAGTGTTTAAAATTGCAATGTAAAAATGTAGAAAACAGCCTTACATTTGTCACGAAGTACATTTATGTACCTCCCACTACGAAAAGGGCCAAATACAAGCAACAGTGCAGTACAATACAGTAACATTAAAATAAAAAAAACAGGTCACAACACTTCCTCTAGCTGCTACCATACAGTTAATTTAAAAACGTCTCCATGCTATCCACCTTGTTTGCAAACTTCATTTCTTTCTCTGTTTCGAGTCTGAAAAGTTTACAACTTAATGGTTGTTTACGGTGTTTTGATTCAGCTTGTTTGGTCTCGTAAATAAGCCGCAGGTATATCAGCTGTAACTCGTCATTGACCCCGTGGTTGTGAACACTAACTTAACCACTAACACAGCGAACTCAGACATAATTTATAACTTAACATGTCGAAAAGTATAAAAAGGGGTCATTTAACGATGTATGCAAACAAGAAACCCCAAACAAAAGGTTATAAAAAAAAAAAAGTTACCGTCAGACTTACTTTACATTCAATAAAACCACACAGCTCGCTGCAAGACAGGTTAGCTCTCACTTTACGTTTAAAACTGGACAATAGTTTCCTCTACACAACACTTTAAAGGACGAATAATGGGAGCCAGCAGCGTTAAGAGTTAGCATTGTAGCTACCAAGTGAGCTAACTTTTTTTTTGCTCCACTCCTCGCTGAACTTTTTTTTTTTTTTTCGATTACCTTGCACATCATCTCTTCCAGGTCACAAAACTGGCTCAGGGGGTAAGAAGGCATTTCGCTGAGTTATCCACAAAAAAAAAAAGGCTTCGTTCCGAGCTCGTCTGTCTGCCCCCGCAGTGATAGACGTGGGGCAACAAGCTGGCATGAGTTGGTCCGAAGTTTCTAGTTGTCTGTGTTGGTGTTAAACAAGCACCAAGACCCCCCCCAGACCACGTGTGGATTTAAAACGTAACAGCGCTTTGCTGCTGCTGGCCACTCCCACGCCTCTGTGAGTCAGCCGAAAGTTGTTTTCAAGTTTCACTAGATCCTGGAAGAGTGACTCGCTGCTCGATGAAAAGTAGTAATACTAAAAGGATAGCTTATTTAAGTCCATAAAGCCTGCATAAAGACACGCTTGTTTTTACTGAAGGAGTCATGCTGATACCTGGATATAAAGTTAGCTTCAGGAAGCAACAAACTTTTCGCAAAAGGCTTTTTTTTTCATTTTTTTTTTTTCATTTTGGCTAATACACGGACCTAATTCGTTTTTTTTAAAGACATACGTATTGAAATATACTAAAGGAATTATATGTAGGTAGATATTTTTTTAATTTTACCACACTGTTTTTTTAAAATATGTTTTCAGCAGCTACATGGAAGAAAAATATATGCGAGTTAATGGCTTTCAGTCCATTTTATTTAGTTTTTATTTTACCTTTATTTTACCAGGCAGAATTGCTTGAGATCAAATGACCTCTCTTTTTTCCAGCAAAGGCCTGGCCAAAATGGTAGCAGCAAAAGAAGAAGTATAAGACAAACCCAAAAAAGAAAGCACAGACATGAGAAAAAGAGACAAACACAGTCCAGAAGGTGAAGAAGGAGGAGGACAAGATCATGTTAAACAAAAACAATAGTCCATGGGCTAGTACAGGCCAACAGGGCATAATATGACCCTTTTCAACTAAATCCTATATATTGTATATAGACAAATAATTAGGCCTGCAGAACAGCATTTTTTTTGTCAGCAGCCATAGTTTGTCATCCAAGTGTCTTCATTGTTTTAGCTAACCATGCTTCCTCCGCATTGCTCTCAGCAATTTGCACAACAACAAACGCACGCCTGACAACCATATCACCCAAAGTATTTTCATATTTTTTAAGAGTAGCCTACAGTATTTTGCTTAAATAATATAATCGTGGATATCAAATGTAATAGTGATATGAATATTATTGTCAGCCACAATCTTGCAGTGTAATAATGTCTGCTTGAGGAAGGGTTAGATAAATAAAGCTTCTTCATAGGGTAGAGCTGCTTCATAGATGTTCTTGTATACAATTAGCTAAACCAGATCATAAAGTATTATGTTTTTTTTTGCCCTATAAAAGGGAAAGTTGAGGGGGAAAAAAAGGCAAGCCTTAAAAAAAAAATCAACAGAAGGTAGACAAACACCCACAAAAAGGCAATCACAAGTACAAGAAAAGGAAGGCGGGCGAAAAACATTATGAGTGAACACATGGGGAGGGAAGACAGTATGGAGACAGCGCAGCCCGTTGAGACAGACAAGGAGGAGTGAAGTGTTTTATTTCAAAGGTAAATGTAGATGTGTGAAAGATTCCACAGCAAAGCCATGAGGATATCTGGTGTGCACACCCACACTATAGTCTGCCAGGAGTGAAGTTGTCACACCTCTGGGATTGTGAACAGGATCGCACCAGTATGCCCAGTAACCTGAAGAGTTAGCAGACAGTTTGCTGCAACTGCAGGGAAAGAAACACCTTTCACTTTGTTCTGTACAGTTCGGTGATATGGCTGGATATATGGGTTTGATTCCTGCTGTACGGTTAGAATTAATGCAACAAATATGGCTGCAATAAAAGACATACTTTTGACTTTTGGAGGAGAATTTGCAGATGTAATCATATTGATGATTTAGCTTAAAGGCTCCATGACAGCTACCGAGTGAGTTGATGTTTTTTCCTACTAAGTATTGGCCTCCTACTTTTGAGAAATAGAACTGCCTGAGCTAATGAGTTGGAAAAAATATACAGTCCCACAAAAGCTCTCCAAAAATTCAGACATTTTGAGTTGATGAATAAAAGTTTTAATGCTGAGCCTCCACTTTGAGTTTGAGAGTTCTTGAAAAGCAGCTCACAGCCCTGAGCCACTTTAGAAAATGAGTTCAGCTGGAAACAAAGCCTGCTGAAAAGCTTTGTTTTGGTCCAGCCAAGTTGTCACCGTTAAGTGTGTGTGTTTATGTGTGTACACATGCTTGTGTCTGTTTAACAGAGGGTCTCACCCCCCCTCACCCCAGAACTGTGATGATGTAATGCTATCCAGTTGAGAGTTCTCACCTGGCATCAGAATGCACCCTTAATGCACCTTGAGTGACCTTTTGTTATCGGATTTCCAATACCACCAATGTAAAAGGAGGAGGCGGCAGCGTAATGGTGGGGCGAAGTTGTTCTGCCGAGCCTATAACAGAGGTGAAACAGTGCCACTGTAAATATCATAGCTGACATGCCATAACAAACCCTGTGTTTGTGTGATTGAGAGTGTGTGTGTATGTGAAGGTTGCGCTGTTTGTTTAGAAGTCGTGCCTCTCTCACTTCCCCAACGTGTAAAATGACTGCGCTGCTGCAGACCGTCCACTTACAAGGACTATTGATGGGTTCAGAGTGATGGAGGAACAGAAGGGGTAGGTGCCCTTTACACGTAACAATTTTGCAAGAGCGCCATAACAAAGTTCCGCAATCATCATGCCTTTGTAGGTCTATTACACACTGCATCTGCTACTCCTGCATAATATTTGACATTGTGTTACAGTGCCAGAGGCCCCTTCTGTTTGTGTAAACAAACAACAGTGGCTGGAGGCGCTCACGAATGCAGCAGCTCAGATAAGTTCATTGACGAGTCGATACCTCCTTTTAGGCAGTACGGAGGGGGATACTTGTGTTGATATGTGTATTGAATCGGTTCTTCAAAGAGGAGGAGGGGGAAGGCATTTAACTCTGACCTCAAAATAGCCCATATACAGTATGGCCACCAAAACGTTTCACATAGGTGGGCACATTTCCACAACACCCTCAAGTGTATTCAGAGGGTCCCAGTGTGCAAGCTGTTTACTCCTATACTAACTTCTGTTAGGACCAAAGTTTTATTTAATTCCAAGTGCCAACAAGGCCTAATTATATTGCGATTGACCTTTTGGTGCTAACACAAAAGACATTGCCCTAATTAGTTCTTCGTCTTAAGGGGTTGGCTCTACATGTTTGTTTGTTTTACCCTGAGATGAAGACCACCACCGTGAACAACAAGCCATTAGCAAGATGTCAACAACCTGGCTGCCTTTAAGGGAAAGCTGTTAATTTGCTAAAGTAAACAAGTGATATCTTTAAACAAGCTATTTGGTTCAGCAAGTAGAGTTTACTTCTTTAAACAAATCCCTTTTGGGTGAGTTAGGGATTACTCAGGGTAAGGAGCGAGTGAGGGACAGGGGGAGGTTTCTGGAGGAAAAAAAGGGGGAGGGGGCAAGAACGGAGAAAGGAGGAGAGAGATTTGAAAGAGATTTCTTGCTTCTTGTTGAGTCCAGCTGGGCTAGAGGGCCTTAGGAGCACAATGAGCTCAATGAGCTGCACAACCAACTTAAAAAACCAATGGCCCGCCGCCTTCTGAGACTCTACCCCCACACACACACACACACACACACACACACACACACACACACACACACACACACACACACACACACACAGCAGACATTACAGAGGGTTTTGAAAGGCTGGGATAGAGGGGCTTGTTTGGAGGAGGAGATGGATGAAGGGGCAGTATTGGGGGGGGGAGAGGTAGGCACTGAAGGATTGAAGGAGGGAATAGGTGGCAATAGATGGTTTCTTTAACACTGGATCTGCAACAATGTATACACAGCTTTGCGATTAACCTGCCAGATGTCTCTTTTTTTCATCACATAATCTTCCTGCAGTAAAATAATTAGCTGTCATTAGGAAAGCATTTGCAGGTTCAACATCTGGTTGACATTAGAGGAGATTTACAGAGGTGACATTGCACAGGGGAGGTTGACAGAAAAAAATCCTGGCTTGGCTTTGATGAAAAAAATATGTTTAGTGAAGACATGGGATGAAATAATGAAGCAATTTTTTTTGCCTCAGAAGTGTTTTATATGTTTTGTGATTACATATTCACTTAGGGTGGAAAGCTATGCCTATTGATTCAGGTTTGCCACACATACACATGGATAATTTGGCAATTTTCTATCATGAAGCCACTGTTGATTAGCAACTGAAAATACAACAGCTTGTCAAAATGTAGTTGGATATTTGGCATATTTCAAGCTAAAGCAGCACATTTTAGCAGGGTAGAAGCTAACATTAGCCCACGATTCTGGGTTTGCTCCCCACACCCAGAGTTTACTATGTTACAGATAAAGAGTGAAAGTGAAAGACTTACACACTTCAACAGGCAGCCTATTGGTGATTAAGTGAAGTCATTCCTCTACAGGCATCTTCAGATAAGAGGCTAGTATAACCAGTTACATATTAAGGAGAGGAGAGGGGAGGAGGGGTCTGTAAGGCCTGATGAACATCTGCTCCTCTTTCCCTCCCCCTAACCAGGCCCCCTCCCTCACCACCTTCATTCTAACACATTGTACCCCCTGCCCCTCTTACTGTGTGTGTGTGTGTGTGTGCGTGTGTGTGTTTGTGTGCATGTGTAAGTTTGTATTTTTTACAAAGAGCCTTCATTATTCAAAGAGAGGGCTTTAGGTTCAGGAAGAGAATTCCCCCAATTGTAGACTGTACAGTTATTATCTAATATGATTATCATAATGTAATGTTGTAAGTAATGTTGGCAAGCATGCACCATATTTCCAAAGCTTATTTTTTTGTATGTTCCAAAATGTTAAGCAATAGAATTAAATAATAGAAGTGCCTTCCTGAAAACATTTTTATTCATTTGTAAAACTGGTATTTTCTATTAAATAGGTTGCACCAACATGAAAAGACACATAGGCTACATTAATATTTAAAAGCTCAAATGAAGCATATCACACTACATCAAACCATAAAGCATAAAGGCATAGCAGCTACCTCATGAATAGAAATGATTACCAGTGACTGCACTGGAATGTCTACTTTTGCATAAATACATAACGACTCTCGCTTGTTTCTGTTTTTTCATTGACACAAAAAAACACACGCATGCACATGCACAAACAATCCATAAAC